AGGTGTGGCGGGGCATCGGCTGCGGAATGATGCTGGCCCTCTTGGCTTACCGCACCTACATCTTCCCCGTGCTCTCCTTCCTCCTGCAGCTGGACCAGTTGCCGTCCAATTGGGACGTTGTGGAGCAGCAGGCATGCGTCCTCCTCTTCCCCGGCCCCCGCTGCTGGACTACCCCAGCGGCGCTCCGGAGCTTGCGGTCCTTGGGGTTTCACGCGGAATTGGTCGACGCAGCTTCCGTGGCGATCGCGGCCAAGTGCCGGGTATATCGATGGGAGAACACAGCTCATGGAGGACTTCAGGTACGTCGTCGTTTTCGTTTTTTGGACGCACTCCGATTGGATTCTGATCATTTGGATCGTTTGGTTGCCTGGAGCGGCTGGTACGGCCAGAATTTCTTCACGAACCTCACAAACGCGCGCGGCCATCTGGAACACAAGGCAGCAGCAGCCAGAGTGTCGGTCGAGGCATTGGTTCAGGGCGACGCGCCGGAACCAGCGCCGAGGTCTGAATGGCAGAAGCGGTGTCGGATTATATTGGCGGACCCGCGCCCGCAGGGCGCCGTCCGCCACCTCGACCGCTGCCTTTCTCGTCTCCAACTCCCGGTGCTCCGTGGGCGCCGCTTGGAGCGCGCGACGCTCGCGCTTGGAGCGCGCGACGCTCGCGCTCCGCGGCCTGGCGCCGCTGGTGCCCCCGCGGGTGTGGGCATCGGTCTACCGCGTCATGTGCAACGGCTGGACTACAGGGCGCCGCATGCAGAGGCCAGCGCCTTGCGCGTTTGCATGCGGACACGGGGAGGACAGCGTCGAGCACTACATCCACTGCTCCAGGGTCGCGGAGTTCGGGCGCAGGCAGCTGGCGCTGACTGCCCCTCCACCCGGCGAGCGCTGGTCTCACTTTCTGCTCCTCTCCCCCCGTTTTTCCGAAGACACGGCGAGCGCTATCGCTCGCCGTGCCCTGGCGGTGTATTGCGTTTACGCGGCATCCACAGCGGCGCGCCACGGGGCCACCTCCAACGCGTGGGAGGCCATGTGGCAGTACGCTAGGGAAGCTTGTGCTGCGCATCCTCGCCTCGCATCGCTCGTGGCCGCAGCGTGGCAAAGCTGAGTTAGTTCCCCCCTCCTCGCCTCCGCTCCTCGTCGTTGTCGTCCGTGGTCGCTGCCCATCACATTTCTTCCCGCGTGTAATGTACTGACTCGCCAATGTGCGCGACACCTTGGGAGCACGCCTTCTTCTGGTCAGCGGGGCGCCCAGACTCACAGGAGTCGGCTGGCGATGACCCTCAGGGCTTTGCTCAGTGCTCTCCTTCCTTCTCCTCCTCCTCCTCCTCCTCCTCTCCGCCTCCTCCTCCCCCTCCTCCTCGTGCCTTCGAAAAACCCGGTCTTAAGTAACATTTTCGCCCTGGCCCCCGGGCAATAATTGTCTCGGGTGCTCTTTCGCTGTCCCTGCCACGTGCCTGATAGCGTCTCCGTATTCTTTGGTGGTCGGCTGCCCACGCAGCCCGGCTTCCCTCCATGTCCGGGGGCAGTGGCCATGCGAAGTTGTCGAGGCATCCAGCCACCGTGGTCGACGCGAGGAAAAAAAAAAGAAAAAAAAAAAAGAGTGGCGAGCCCGTCTCGGCCGCCGCCCGCCGCGTCGTGCTCTGCCTCCTACCTTCATACCCCGTGCCCTACCCCCTCCTCGCACCTCGTGCCGCTCGGGATGGATCGCATGTCGGTACCAGCCCGGCGTCGGCCACGCTTGCGGGCCCTCCGTGTGCCCAAGAGCGCCGCCAGGGCGCGTTTGGTGAGGGCCTTGCCGATGGACCTCCTGTACGCCGTTCCTCCCCCTGCCCCTCTGTGCTTCGTCGTCGTCGTCGTGTCGTCCCTCCTCCTCCCCCTCCTCCTCGTCCTGCCTCCTCCTTTCCTCCTCCTCCTCCTCCTACATCGCTCCTCCTCCTCCTTCCACTCCATCTCGCGTCCTCCTCGTCGCTCCTCCTCCTCCTCGCCCTCCTCCGCCTCACGCCTGCTCTCCCCCCCCGCCTCCCCCCTCGTGCTTCCTGTCCCACCTCCCTTTCGTCATCCCTTCTCCTCCTCCTCCTCCTCCTCCTCCTCTCCTCACTCGCTCCTCCCTCCTCCTCCCACCTCCCCCCGACTTCCTGGTCCCCAGGCGTCGAACGTCCCGAGCTCGTTTTTTCCCCGCCATCCCCCGCCCCTCGTCGAGCGGGAGCGTACATGCTGCCGCTCGCGGAGCGCAGCTAGTGGCCGCCGGGGCCACCGGCCACGGCACAGCAGCAAAAGTGGTGTGCGTAGACGTAGTGATACAAACGCTTTCTTTATGCATTGTATCGCTGTGACAGAAAATGCATTGCCTCGAGGCACGCACGGCCAGCGGAAGCCGTCCCAGTGATTTCGCATGCCGTTGCACCTAACCACCACCTGCGCGAATAATGCGTTGGTGCATGGTCATGGCCTGGTTGTTTTCGGCACCGGGGGGGGGAGGGGGGGAAGGGCAGCTTGGGACAAGGCCGATGTCGTGTTCGTGTCTCGCGCCTCCTTCTGCTCGTGTAGCCTTCCCCCCTGGCTCGGGCCACGAGGCTGTCTGGCCGCCTGGGAGGTCGCCTCGGTCCCAGGAGGCAACCGGGGGCTTCTGGAGGCCTAGAAAGCCCTCATACGTCCGACTACCTCAATCTTCGGCCCTGGAGGAGCAGGGGGAGGATCAACCTCAAGGATGCGCCAATGATGCTGCTGTGCACCTTCGGTCCCGAGCCCCCTACCCTATGTAACATAATTCAAGAACTCCTTCCCAGAGCGGTCCCTTGAGTGCCGAGCGCCGGGTGGGCTTGCCATTCGGGCGATCACCCGGTGTTGCAGAGGATCCGCCCTCAATCGTTCTGGTTAGGAGAAGCGCAGCAATATGTAATGCCCAGAGTTCTGATCAGACTGGCATCCTGTCACAGAGTTCGGTCACGAATTTCCAGTTCCCGCTGCCCGACGCCACAGTTCTGGTCATCAATTTCCGGGAAGTGCAGACCAGAGCCGCCTTCTGAAGACGAGCCACTCCACCCGCGTAGTGGCACATCTCCTAACCTGCGGTCGTCGAGTTCGAGAAATCGGAAGCGAGAACCGCTGTCTGAGAGCGAAAACCGGCCTTTGTCCGTGCAGCTGCGAAAAGCTGGTATATATATAGCGAACCCGCGTAGTGGCACATTTCCTAACTTGCGGCCGTCGAATTCGAGAAATCGGAAGCGAGAACCGCTGTCTGAGAGCGAAGACCGGCCTTTGTCCGTGCAGCTGCGACAAGCTGGTATATACACATAACGAACAGCCTCGGCGCGCGGTGGCGAAAGCCAGACTTTGAAACAGAGCTGGCCCTCCATGCGTGCAGCTGCCGGAAGGTTTCACACGAGTGTGTTTTGCAGTGTGGCGAGAGCCACAGCTGGAAACGGGCGGACCCTCCATCCGCGCAACTTCCGTTTTTATCATTATTATTCGTATTATGCTTTATAGCATTATTATTATTCTTATTCTCATTATTCTTCTTATTATTATTCTTTATTATCATTATTTTCATTATATTTATTTTAATTATTATTAGTATTATTCTTATTTTTATTTTTATTATTTTTATTTAATATTATCATTATTATTATATATAGATATAAAACAAACGTGCGCAGCGCGAAAGCCGCATTCTGACAACGGCCCGCCCGCCCTTCGTGCAGCTTGGTAGATGGTGAAAGTTTCATGGCAACCAGGCCAAAGGTGGTCGCAAGCGGAACGCCCAACCCGTCTTACGTACATGTCTGTGGTGCGGCAGTGGGAGCTCTTTGTTAAGGAAGAGGGGAGGAGCAGGACGAGGAGGAGGACGAGGAGTAGGTGGGGGGGAGGAGGGAGGAGGAACACCGTTTTGCACGAGGAGGGGCGGGAGGAGCTTCGCGCCATCTCCTGGCGAAGCCCACAGGATGTGATGTAGCCGTGGGTTGCTACGGACTTCTCTCACTTGCCTTAGGAGGAGGCGGACGGCGCAGTGCAGGAGGAGGGAGGATGCAGGCCGGAGCGGAAGGAGGAGGAGGAGGAGGAGGAGGTTCAGGGCTACAGAGGAGGAGGAGGAGGCCGAGGAGGAGGAGGGTGGGAGGAGGGAGGAGAGGTATGGGAGGAGAAGAGGAGGAGGAGGAAGAGGAGGAGGAGGAGGACGACGACGACCACGAGGACGCCGCCAGGCCAGCGGCGCGGCCCCGGAGGCGACGCCCCCGTCCCGGCGGGACTGCGCCGCCGTGGAGCCGGGCGCCACCCTGGCGGCGCGGGGCGGCCTGGGCGGGCCGAGGCGCGGGGATCGGCTGTTGCATGCTCGCGTCGGGCGAGAGAGTACCTGCTCGATCCTCGGCACTCGATCCTGGAGCCTCGAGGGGGGGGACCCCCTCGAGGATCCTCGATCCTGGATCCTCGATCGCTGGTCCTCGATCCTGGACGTTCGATCCCCGACCCTCGATGCTCGATCTTCGATCCTTCTGGGCGACCCAGTGGCCCTGCGCCGCCCTCACCTCCCGCGCGCCCTCCAGAGAGCGCCGCGGAGCCCGCCGAAGGGGAGGGGTGCGGAGCCACGGCCGAGCACGCGCGCGCGTGCTCGCGCGCTGGCCCCGCTTGCGGGCGGCCCCCTCCGGCAGCGGTCGGCGGGAGACCTTCCTCGATTGCCCCCCCCCCCCCCCGCTAGATTCCTCCAATGCAGTCGCAAGGGGCGTGTTGGTGATCAGCGTCCTCTTCCTTCCTCTTCCTCCTCCCTCCTACTCCTCCTTCCTCCTCCTCTTTCCTCCTCCTCCTCCTCCTCCTTCGCCCTCCATTTCCCCTCTCCTCGCCTCCCCTCCCTCCTCCTCCTCCTCCTCCTATTCCTCCGCCTCCTTCCTCCTCTACGCTCCTCCTCCTCCTCGTCTTCCTCGCTCCTCGGTCCTCTCCTCTCTTCTCCTCCTCCTCCTCCTCCCGGGGTCCTAGGGTACACAGGCAGCGGTAGACAGCAATTACTAAGGCTCCCCTCAATCCCATTAAGTGGGACAGCAGCTACGGCATCAACAATCCCACTGAGTGGGATAGCAGCTTTGTGCGATACGCAGCAACATGCGTAGACAATTGTATACCCTACATCCGAGCGTGGCTGGGGCGAATTCCATGCCCCAGCCACGCCAGAAAAAATTAGAGAAGGGTGGAGTCCGAACGCGGGCTGGGGCAAATGCCATTCCCCAGCTACGCCAAAAGGGTACAGAAAGGTGACACCTCATGCTGGAGAGTCGGTCCCCGTTACTTCATGCGGTGACCCTTCACGCTGGGGCTTGCACCTCTCATGCGTTGACCCCTCATGCTGGGGACTGTACCCCTCATGAGTCGCGCTGTCCTCCTCGCATCTCTCCCGTCATGCTGTCGGGCTTTCCCAACGGGTGGCTCCCGGCCGTGCCTGGAGAGAACACCGGTGAGCTGGGCAGCTCACCGGTGCTCTGAGGCTGTTTGGCCGTACCTGGAGCTCAAATTCAGCGGCAGGGAGGCGCGCGGAATCTTTAGGGGTCAGATTGCTCCCCAGACGGGAACCGCTGGGTAGCGCACGGCTACAGATTCAGTGTGTGCGCGGACCACTGCGGAGGCAAGTTCGCTTCCCCGACTTGGGATGCCACCCTGTAGGAGCCCGGATTTGGCCAGAACACCAGAGGGCATAGGGTGAGGAGGGGGCGGTGGTCAGAGAAGGCGATAGAGAGGTGGCGCATCGACCGGTGCTCCTCACTCAGCACCTCAATATCATTGCTGTCCTCCGCCCCCCGCTGTAGGCCGCGTGGCAGGTTTCTCGCATCGGCCAGACCCCGCTCCCCTAGTGGCTGAGGTGTGTGAGCCCGGCCCACGGCCTGGGGGTACATCCGTGACAATCCTCCTCTTTTTCCTTGTCCTTACAAAGAATTTCTCCCTGCCGCACCCCGAGGCCAGTTTTTAAGGCGGGCTGGGCGTTTCGCCAGAGATTCCCTCACCGCTTATGATTCTGAAGCTTAAAAGTGGCAGCAGATTCGCAGATGGAGGGTGGGCCGTTTTCGAAATGTGGCTCTCGACTTAGCGCCGCGCGCATTTGTCTTCAAAGCTTGCAAGAGTTTCGCGGATTGAGGGCGGGCCGTTTTCAAAACTGTGGCTCTCGCCGTAGCGCCGCGCACATTCGTTTTCAACGCGTGCAGGAGCTTCACGGGTTGAGGGCAGGTCGATGTCAAACTGTGGCTGGGCCGCGCATTTTTTAAGCAAAAACAGATATGCAATAGCCTCACGTATGAGGGCGGGCCGTTTACAACATGTAGCTCTCGCTTTATGGCCGCGCACATTCATTTTAAAAGGTTGCAATAGTTTCACGGATTGAAGGCGGGTGGTCTTCAACATGCGGTTCTCTCTTTAGCGCCGCGCACATTCGTGTTCAAAATTTCAAGAGCTTCACGGATTGAGGGCGGCTCCTTTTCAACCTGTGGTTCTCGTTTTAGCGTCCCGCACATCCATTGAAACCTTCCCAGCGTTTCACGGATTCCAATGATCAGCTTACCAGAAATGGTTTCTGAAAGGATTCACGATCATGCGGGTGCAACCGTTATGTTGATTCGCGGTGTTGAAGTATCGAAAATCGCGTTATGGCACGGTTCTGGATCGTCAAGACGCAACAGTCAGATTGATCCGTGGTGTTGAAATCCCAAGAACAATTTTTTGGCATGATTCAGGGTCTTCAAGCGGTTGTCTTCCAACGAAGCAGTTCCTTCAATGGACATGAACCGTTGTAGGGGCTTGCGACGAGGGAGCTTGGAGGGTTGGTTAATTCCAACGTCGTTGATGGCTCTTGGGTTTACAGTGGTCCTCATCCTCCTCCTCGTCCTCCTCCTCCTCCTCCTCCTCTTCCTCCTCCTCCTCCTCCTCCTCCTCCTCCTCCTCCTCTTCCCATCTCCTCCTCCTCCCTTCCTCCCCTCCTCTCTTCCTCCCCTCCTCTCCTCCTCCTCCCCTCCGTCCTTCTCCGCCTCTTTCTTCCTTTTCCTCCTCCTCCTCACTCCCGGCGGGCGGGGGGGGGCTGCCGCGGGCTGCTTGACTGGACTGGGCAGTGTCCTCCGCGGGGACGCGCAGGACCCCTGCAGGACAAGGGGGGGCCCTTCCCCGACCGGGGGGCCGCGCGGCCCTGGTGCTAGCGCCCGTCCCCTGCTGTTCTGCGTGCAGTGCCTCCTGCAGTTGGCCGCGTGGCCGTTGTGGCTCAAGGCCAGGAGCCCGTGCAGCGGTTCGGGGCACTCGCACGGCTCCCCGGGCCGGGCCCGCGCGCGCGCGCCCCGCGGGGCGCGGCGGGGGGCGCCGACTTCTCCACGCCAGGCGCGGCGCCGCTGGGATGGGGCAGGCCAGCGCGCAGGCGGTGCAGCCGAGCCCGGCGCCGGCCCCGCCGGGCGGGTGCTGCCAGACGCCGGGCTCCCAGCAGGCCGCCGGTTTCGCCGACGCGAACGGGGACGCCTTCGGGGGTGCCCCGAAGGCCACGCCGATGCCCGCCGCCGCCACGGCCTCCGCACCGTGGGCTCCGCGAGGCGAGGCCCCCGCGTTCGGCGACGGCGACGCCCACGGGTTTCCGCTCGGAAGGCGCCTACCATCGTTCGAGTCCGCCGAGGCCGAACGCATGCGGCTGGAGTTGGCCAACCTTCATCAGGTCAGCATCGCGCTGCGCCAGGATGCCTCACACCAGTCCAGCCTGCTCGAGGCGCTGCAGCGGGAGGTGGCCCGCAGGTCCGAGGCAGTGCAGGGGGCGAAAGCGGCGGCGTCCCGGCAGTGGGCCGAGGCGGCGCCCCTGCTGGCCGAGCTGCGGGCGAAGCGGGAGGAGGTCGCCTTGCGCAAGAAGCAGGTGGCGGAGGCGGAGGAGCTGGTGCAGTCGCTGACCGACGAGGCGGCCAAGAAGCACCAGGTCATGCAGGACCTCCTGGCGGCCCTCGCCGAGATGTGCGGCCGCCGCCCCGAGCCGCCCGCGGCCTGAGGGGCGGGCGGCGCCGCGGGGCGCGGCCAGCCTGCGCCAGAGACCCCGCCCGTTAGATGGAAGAAAAGCCTCCTGCAGTTGACCAGCCTGCGCTTCGAGTCAGCTCTTCAGTCCAGCCACAAGCCCAGACCCCCTCGCGTTGTGAAACAATCATCGCGACGGCGAGTCTGTCGCTACTTTCGGCTCTCGGGGGGCCCTCGCCAGGCCGCGGGACCGTCAACAAGACGACTCAGGATGAAAAGTCGGTCTCTTGGGAGGGGTCCAGACCTCTGGGGGTCGACGCCGTGAAAAATCACGACGTCGGGGGTCTGGGAGCCTCTCCCTGCCAATTCCCACCCCTCCCCGCCTCCTTCCCCAGCGCCACCCCCCCAGAACCCCCCGACGTCGCGTCTTGTCCCCAATGGGGAGCCCAACACGTCTTCACCCCTTTCCCACCGTGGACCGTTTTCCGCCCCGATCTGGTTTCTTGACGGCCCCTGGGTCCGGCAAGGGCAGCCCAGACGCAAGAACTGCCAACACTGCCTCTCGTTCGGATGTTGCCAAAGGGGTATCCCTGGCCCAAAGTCATCCGAGGATTTCCAAAGACGCCCCCACGGCATCCTGAGCATAACGAGGCCCAGGGGGCCCCAGCCACAGGGATTCAAACATGGAGCGACAGCTTGGGGCACCTTGGGCCAGGGACACAATTAGCAACCAGCGAGTAGCGTTTGTCTTTCGCGACGCGAAGGGATCAGGGCCCCTCCCTCCTTTCTTCCTTCCGCCTCCTCATCCTCCTCCGTTTCCTCCTCCTCTCTTGGGCCCCACCCCCCCTGGCGGGCGCGGGGCCGGGCCGCCACAGGACCAAGCGGCTCGTGCTGATCCGGCACGGGAGGTCGACGTGGAACGAGTTCCTGGGCCAGCACAGGCTCCGGGGGGCACCACGCGGTCGCAGGTGGGCAGCGCAGCAACGCCGAAGAACGAATTCGACTGCGCCGGCAGTCGCGCGTGGGCTGCCTGCGTGAGGTGGCGCGTGAGCGCCCTCGTTTGCAGAGTGGCGTGCCGCGCTGGCGGTCTGCGCGAGCCGCGGCCTGAGGTCGCTGTGCCATCTGGCGCAGGGCCCGTTCGCTTTCCTCGCTCAAATGGCGGTTGAGTCACTGGCAGTGTCTCAGCCCCGCTGCAGGAGGAGACCGAACATCGAAAATGATTGGAACATACGCTGTCGCGATCGTGTTCGCAGCGCCAGGAGGTGCTGGTTGGAGGGGGAGGAGCTGTGGAGACGCGGGTACTTCGACGGTGCCGAAAGTTATAAACGTTGCTGATTTCTTGACCATCTCGGCTTTCCTATAAGCCACAAGCCCCGATCGACCTTGCGATTGCCAGCGGCGGCTCGAGAACATTCCTGACTCAGCTGGAGGAAGAAAGGGAGGAACGCTGCCAATCATCCACAGTCGCGATTTTGTTGGAAAGGGGAGCAGGGTCGACGAGCAAGTAATCGTATATGAACATAGCATGTCGACCGTCCGCGCAGACTTCCTGGATCTGCGCTGGATGTCCCTGGCGGCGCCGCCCCCTGGCACGCCCCGCGCACCAGGGAGGGGGTCCAGCGCAGATCCAAGAAGTCCGCGCGGGGGGAAGGAGGAGGAGGACGAGGAGGAGGAGGAGGAGGAGGAGGAGGAGGAGGAGGAGGAGGGGGAGGGGGAGGAGGAGGGGGGGGGGAAGGAGGCGGAGGACCCTGAGACCCGACGTTGCGCAAAGACTGCAACCTCGCGGAAAATCGCGACTTGAGCCCTGGACCGTTCTTTTGCTGCGTTTTCGAGGCAGATCGATCTGGGAGGGCCCCTGTGCCCGAAGCCTGGCGAAAGCGCCTAGTGTGACAAACATTGCAATACCAGTATCTTAGGCCCAGAGATCCGGTGTATAGTGGAAACAGTTGTTTCCTCCTTTCTTTGAAGGCCCAAACAGCAGGTTCTCAGAGCCTGGATTGACATCTTCTGGCAATTTTGGTGTGTACGAAGGAGTTCCAGAATACAGCCAGGCACAGTGTATCTTTGCATTCAAGATGTACGCGTGGTGTTTTCGCATTGTCGGAAACAGAGGTGTCGTTCGTGACAGCGTCGGCCTGCCCCGTGTGGTTGGTTGTGGCAGGTCCTGAAGAGGATCGCCAACCACACGCCGAAACGCTGGAGACGGACTGGACCAGGGGTGCCCGAAAGAGTGGGCATACTCAGTCCTAGACCAGAAAAGGGAACCGAATGAAGTTCCGCAGTCAACTGTTTCTCGGCGACCCTGGCGCGGTTGTCCGTTGTCAGGCGAGCCTGGGGCGGGTGTACAAACGGATCTGCTTAGCGAGTGACAGGCTATCAGCCGAAAGTCTCTCCAGGAACTCGTCTTCGGTAGTGCGGCCTTATTCCCAAAAGTCAGAGAGATAACAATTGTGGCTTTACCAAAAAAGGGGGTCTCGCAGGCGCGCTCTGATTATACACGAGCGCGTGACGCAGGGGTCGGGTGGCTCACACCCCTGGGCCGTGGTTAGAGTCCGCTCATGGAAAGAGGGGGCAGTCGCCCGGCTTAGCTGCGGTTGCCGGCGGTGTCAGGAAAGAGGGGGCAGTTGTTTCCTCCCTTCTTTGAAGGCCCAAACAGCAGGTTCTCAGAGCCTGGCCTGACATCTTCTGGCAATCTTGGTGTGTACGAAGGAGTCCCAGAATACAGCCAGGCACCGTGTATCTTTGCATTCAAGATGTACGCGTGGTGTTTCCGCATTGTCGGAAAAGGTGTCGTTCGTGACAGCGTCGGCCTGCACCGTGTGGTTGGTTGTGGCAGGTCCTGAAGAGGATAGCCAACGACACGCCGAAGCGCTGGAGACGGACTGGACCAGGGGTGCCCGAAAGAGTGGGCAGATTCAGTCCTAGACCAGAAAAGGGAACCAAAGGAAGTTGCGCAGTCAACTGTTTCTCGGCGACCCTGGCGCGGTTGTCCGTTGTCAGGCGAGCCTGAGGCGGGTGTACGAAGAATGCCTTGTATGTTGTACTAGTATGGATATGCTTGGCAAATGACTGGTTATCAGCCGCAAGTCTTTCCAGGAGTTCGTTTTCGGTCGTGCGGCCTTTTTCCCAACAGTCAGAGAGGTAGCAATGGTGGCTTTACCAGAAAAGGGGGCTTCGCAGGTGCGCTCTGATTACCCACGAGCGCCTAACGCAGGGGTCGGGTGGCTCACACCCTTGGGCCGTGGTTAGAGTCCGCTCATGGAAAGAGGGGGCAGTCGCCCGGCTTAGCTGCGGTTGCTGGCGGTGCCAGGAAAGAGGGGGCAGTTGTTTCCTCCCTTCTTTGAAGGCCAAACAGCAGGTTCTCAGAGCCTGGCTTGACATCTTCTGGCAATTTTGGTGTGTACGAAGGAGTTCCAGAATACAGCCAGGCACAGTGCATCTTTGCATTCAAGATGTACGCGTGGTGTTTTCGCACAGTCGGAAACAGAGGCGTCGTTCGTGACAGCGTCGGCCTGCCCCGTGTGGTTGGTTGTGGCAGGTCCTGAAGAGGATCGCCAACCACACGCCGAAACGCTGGAGACGGACTGGACCAGGGGTGCCCGAAAGAGTGGGCATACTCAGTCCTAGACCAGAAAAGGGAACCAAAGGAAGTTGCGCAGTCAACTGTTTCTCGGCGACCCTGGCCCGGTTGTCCGTTGTCAGGCGAGCCTGGGGCGGGTGTACAAAGAATGCCTTGTATGTTGCACTAGTACGGATATGCTTGGCGAGCGACTGAAACCCATACCGAGAAACACCCTGCTTGCCTCCAGGGTGCCCTGGGTTTTTTGGGGTTTCGATGGTTTTGCCCTGGAAAGCGTGACGCCCCCCCACACCGTTAAATCAGTGGGCGTCCTGGGGTCTCAGGCTTGGTTCTCTTGTGGAAGATCTCTTGTGGTGGGGCTCCTGCCGTATGGATTTCTTCCATATTCGAAGTCCCCGGGGGCCTCGACCGTTCCCCCTGCAGGTGCCAGCGCGTTGCGCCTTGCATCGTCTTCGGCCGGCCCCGGGGGCCCGGCGAGGGCCCGAAGAGGCCGACGGCGGCCAAGCACCCCCCCCGGCCTGGCGTGCTGCGCGAGGGTGCGTGCGCCCGGCGGCTCTTGAGGGATGGCTGCCCCGCGAGGCCCGGGCCCCGGCCTGCTGCAGGACTCCCGGCTGTTCCTGCCCTGCCCGGGCCGGCCGCGCATAACCTATATCTTGTAAGCGCATACGGAAGCAACAAACAGCATTTGTGGGACATCCGGATCACATTCGCATTCGTTTGCACATCACGTATCAACCGTTACTTCGTTTCCCGTTATCCTGCCTCCTCCTTTATATTGTATAGTGTGTATATATATATATATGTAAATACATGCGTACGTTTATATATATATATATATATATATATATATATATATGTATATATATGTACACATATATATGTATATATACATATATATACAAATATCGTAATTGCGCCACTGCCGACTTCGTCGTCGTCTCCCCCTGCCGCACGCAGTTCCAAGGCGCGTTCCCAGAGCCTCGATCAACCCTCGCGCGCTGCCCGCACGCCTTGTTGGCTTATATAAGACACACCTCCCCTTTAACAAACAAGCTCCCCGCAATCAGAACATCACTTCCCCTGCCTCGCTGCCGTGGCAGAACAGATCGAAGCTTTTTGTTCACGAAGCCAGCACGTCCCCGGAGGTCCGCCGTGGCGAGAGAACTGCAACGCCATACAAAATCGCACCCGGAGCCCTGGACCCCACCTTCCTGCGCAATTTTTCGAGCCGGATCGATCTGTGAGGGCCGCGGGGGCCCGAAACAACGCGAACACGCCCATCGTGAAAAGATTGCGGGACGGAGGAGCGCGCCGCGGCTGGCTCGCAGACGGGCCGCGCCGGCCTCCCGGGGTGGCCGCGGGGGCCCGCCAGGCAGCGCCAGTCCGAGGAGCAGCGGGAGCCGAAGCGGGCGGCGGGCCTGCGGGGCACCCTGAAGCACATGGTGCGGGGCAAGGCTCCGTGGGCAGGGGCCTGCAATGTGCTCACGCCCCAGACTCTTGCGACGTGTTGGGCGATTCGGTGCTGAGGTTTTTCGTCGTGGTCGGCCTCTGGAGGGCCCTTGCCGGGCCCTGGGACCGTCAAGATATCACCCGGAACGGTACACCGGTCCCGGGGAACGGGCTGAGGCCTCTGGGGACCCCGCATTGAAAATTAGTACTGGACGCGCTGGCTGTGTCTCAGTGTGAGTGTGAGTCCGAGTGGACGAAGGCTACGAGGACGGCGGCTACGAGGGACGACTACGACGACGACGACCAGCCACGACGACGACGACAGCGACGACGACGGCGATGATGACGACCACGACTACGACCATCGACCACGACAACGACGACGACGACCACGTGTGCGACGACGACAGCTCACAGACAGACGGACAGACAGACAGGCGGTGAGCAGGCCCCTTCCCCTTCCCTTCTCCTGCAGCCTCCTCCTTCCTCCTCTCTCCTCCTCCTCCTCCTCCTCCTTCGCCCCCTCCCTGTCGGCAGTCTTTCTCTGTCCTCTAGCGCAATCCTCTTCATCCTCATCCTCCCTACTCATCCGTCCTTTCTCCATTTTTCTCTTTTTTTCTCCTCCCTCTGGCAAGTGTTTGTCCTCGTAAGCCAGCGCCCCGCCCGAGACATGTTTTAAACATCTGCGTCGAAAGCATTAGAGTCTGAGCCACCAGACGAGCAAACCGCTCGAGACATCCCCACTATCAAGGCCCCCTGGTGTGTGTGTGTGTGTGCTGAAGCCAGCGCCTCGCTCGAGATGTCCTTACGATGCGCTTTGAACTCCGAGGAGCCCAAGCCTCCAAACAAGCGAATCGCTCGCGACATCCCCACAATCTGGGCCCATTGTGGCGCTGATGCCAGCGTCTCGCGAGAGATACCCTCACAATCAGCCCTGAAGCCGAGGAGTCCAAGCCACCAAAGATGCAAACCGTTTGAGGCATCCCCACAATCTGGCCGCGAACGGACCCATGCAACCACCCCTGCTGGCTCCCCCTTGGGGCGCCCCGGTGATACTCCTGCTATATCGCTGCGAGCGTTGGACCACCAACAGAGAGAAGTCGGTGGGGCCAAAACGAGCAAACTGCCTGAGAAATCCTCACAGTCTAGGTGCAAAGCATGGAATGTCCAAACCCCTGCCGGCTTCCCCATTGGGGTGCCCAAGTGCCACGCCTGCATTATGGCGTTGAACATTGGACCAGCACTATATATATAGTATATAGAGAGAGAGAGAGAGAGAGACAGAGAGAGAGAGAGAGACAGAGAGAGAGAGAGACAGAGAGAAAGAGAGAGAGAGAGAGAGACAGAGAGAGAGAGAGACAGACAGAGAGAAAGAGAGAGAGAGAGAGCGAGAGTCGGGCGGGCCGAAACAAGCAAGCCGCTGGAGACATCCCCACAATCTGGTCGCGAAGACTGGTTGCCCTACCCCATGGCTGCCTCTCACATGAAGGGATCGGCTCGGTTCGGTTCGGTCCGGTTCTGCAGCCGGGTCGGTTTTGCTTGGCCGGTTCGGTTTGGCATCGGTCCGGTTTCGGCCGGTTCGGCTCGGTGCGGCCCCTTCATGCTCTCATGGTGTGCCCAAATGATACGCCTGGCTTATCGCAGTGAGCATTGGACCACCAACAGAGAATAGTCGGCGGGGCCGAAACCAACAAACCGCCTAAGACATCCCCACAATCTAGGCGCGAAGAATGGAGTGTCCTACCCCGTGGCGGCTCCCCCTGGGTATGCCCAAATACCACGCCTGCTTTCTCGCCGTGAGCATTCGACCACCAACAGATAGGAAGAAGTCGGCGGGGCCGAGACAAGCAAAGCGCTTCAGACATCACCACAATGTGAGCGCGCAGAATGGTATGCTCTACCCCCCTGGCGGATCCCCCTTGGAGGGCTCGAGTGCCACGCCTGCTCTATCGCGTTGAGCATTGGGGACCGCCAACATAGAGAAGTCGGCGGGGCCGAGGCACGCAATCCGCTTCACACATCTTCACAGTCTGAGCGCGAAGGATGGAGTGTCCTACCCCCTTGGCGGCGCCCCCGTGGGGTGCCCAAGTGCGACGCCTGCTATACCGCGGTGGTTTTTGGACGGCCAACAGGCAGGAGTGCAAGAATCCAAGTGTGAGTGAATCTTACTGCGAGTCGGTCTGGGCATGAGCAAGTCTGGGTGTGAGTGGGTCTGCGTGGCAGTGGTTATGTCCACGAGTGGGTCTGAGGATGAGTGAGCCTCAGCGTGAGCACCTCAAAGTGTCATGTCCTTGGATGTGAGAGCAAGAGGAGGCTCTGTGTGAGGCAGAGGCCTCCCAGTGTAACAACAGCAGCCCCGATCCGGGAGGTGGGAGCATCCCAGACATGGGGCCTCGGGGACCGAGCGTGTCCACCCAGCGTCGGGCCCCCGGGGACCAGCACGGATCGCTCCGGGCCCGACAGGATGCGGCAGGGAGGCTCACTCTGTGGTGGCGGCTCCCGCCGTGGATCTGCACGCCGGTGCGGGCAGCTCTGCGCAGCGTGGGGTCTCGGGAGGCGGCCTCGGCGGCCCAGGAGCCTTCCGGCGCACGTCGTGCCTCTGCCCGGCGGCGCGGTGCCTCGCCGCGTCGGAGCTCTTTCAGAGGCGGCCTTGGCGGTCGGGAGCCTGCTCCGGTTGCTCGGCGTGCCGCGCCGCCGGCGCTTCCCTTCGTGGTTCGGCGGTCTTCGGAAGGGGCTGCTTGGTTGTTGGCTCGCGGAGGCCAAGCGAGCCTCGGCGTGCGCACCAGCGGCTGCGCCTCGTCGAAAGAGAGAGAGAGAGAGAGAGAGCTTTCCTCCTGGCATCGCTCGGGCGTGTGCGTTTTTTGTTGGTTGTTTCTCCTCGGCGATGGCCATCGAGGAGCCTTTTGGGTCGTCTTGCGAGAGTCTGCACGCACGAGGCCGACCACTGCACGGGGGATGGACGTCCAAGCGATGGCGGGTGGCTTGGCATCGCTCGGTCGTATGCCTTGTCCTCGGCCAGGACCATCGTGGAGCCTTTTGGGTCATCTCGCGAGGAAAGACACGCACGAAGCCGAAAAATGCATGGGGAAGGGCCGGCCGAGCGATGGCGAGTCCTAGGGTGCCAGAATCGTCCCGAACGGCCGCCAGAGGTCCAAGTTAGAGCCCACCACGCCTCGGCGCGACACGCTAACCAGGCCCCGGGCCCCCGAGTATTCGAGTAGGGGATCGACTACAGAAGTGATCTAGCCCCAAAATATAGTGTTCGTCGGATCTACAGCACAATGCGCAGGATGCTCGTAGATCCATGAGCATTATTTTACGTACTTTTGTTGTAGATCTGGCGAACATGTTAGTTCTGGGGTAGGTGAATTCTGCAGTCGATCCCCGACTCGAAGTCTCGACGTCCTAAGCGCCGCGGAGCGGACGCCTTCCCGCCGCGCCGAGCGGAGCGGGACGCCTTCCGCTCGCAGAGCTTGGCGTGCCGCCGGAGCCGCCGCTGCGGGCACGCCGTGAGCAGAAAGGCTCCCAGCCGTGCCGAGGAGGCGGGGGCCGTCTTGGGGTCGTGTGGGGGGTCTCTTGGGCCGTCCTGGGGCCCCCAGGGCCCCCAGAGACGGGGGGGGGGCCTCTCTAGGCAGTCTCGGGTCCCTCATGGGGTGCTTGAGGCCGTCTTGAGGGTCTGGGGCCGCCTCTTGGGGTCGTGTTGGGGGGTCTCTCGGGCAGTCCTGGGGCCCTTTGGGGCCGCCTTGCGGGCCCCGTGGGGCGTGCTTGAAGGCCCAGGGGGTGCCCGTCTTGGAGCGTCGGCATCCCGACAGCGCCCAGAAAGACGTCCCTAGATGAAGAAAAACAGCCATAAACATAAACTGTTGGCGCTCCGCGCGGAGCGCCAACAAATTATGTTTATGGCGTGTTTTCTTCTTCCAGTCCCCAGGAGACGTCGAGCCGCGGTGCGGCGCGGAGCAGCAGCAGCAGCAGCAGCAGCAGCAGCAGCAGCAGCAGCAGCAGCAAGAGCGGCGGCGGGTCCTGGGCATGGCTTGTCGTCTGTCCTCCTGCGAGCCCCTCCGCCTCGGCATCGCTCGGGCGTGTGCCTTTTTTTATTTGTCGGCGGGACCATCGTTAAGTCGGGCCTGTCCCTCTGCAGAAGGAATATGCGAAAATAGTATAAACATAGTCTGGGGTCGTTTCGTCGATTATTTTTTATTATGTTGTCCATCATTCTTTTGGACTGTGTTTGGGCTATTTTTATTTATCCTCCAAATCCGCCTGTAGGGGGACACGCCCGACCTACCACCATCGAGGAGCATCGGGGATCATCTCGCGGACCACCCGCGCGCGAGACCGAGCAGTGCACGGGGAAGGGGCGTCCGAGCGATGGCGAGCGGCGCCCCCCCCTTGGCAAACGACGACGTCCTCCTCCTCCTCTTCCCCCTCCTCCTCCTCCTCCCCCTCCTCCTCCTCGTCCTCCTCCTCCTATTCCTGCTCCTCCTCCTTCTCTTCCTCTTCCTCCTCCTCCTACTCCTCTCGGCGGCGAGCAAGGGGGGGGGTCGTGAGTAGGAGAAGGCCTTCTCAGAAGGCTCGGAAGACCCACGGCCTTCGGAGGAGTTTTCGGAGCCTTCCCCGGAGGCAGAGAAGAGCCTTTCAGAAGGCCGGAGGGCCTCTCAGAAGTCCCGCCGCCTTCTGAGAAGGCCTTCTCCTTCTCACTTCCCCCCGTTGCTCGCCGCCGAGAGGAGTAGGAGGAGGAGGAGGAAGAGGAAGAGGAGGAGGAGGAGCAGGAATAGGAGGAGGAGGACGAGGAGGAGGAGGGGGAGGAGGAGGAGGAGGAGGAGGATGAGGAGGAAGACGAGGGGGAGGGGGAGGGGGAGGAGTAATAGGAGGACAAGTGTAAACCCGAGAGTCATCAACGATGTTGGAGTAAACCCGCTCTCCAAGCTCCCTCTTCATAGGCCTCTACAACGCTTCATTTCCATTGATGGAACTGCCTCGTTGGAAGACACCCGTTTGAAGACCC